TTTAGACTGATTAATTTTTTTTTAACTTTTGGACCGAGTCAGGCTAGCTTTTGCCCGTTGTTTTCAGTCTTTATGCTAAGCTAAGCTAACAACGTGCTTATATAGCTTTATAGCCCTCAGCAGGGGAGGCTGTTTCTGGTTTCCTTATAACACATTGATCTGTAATGTGATCGATATATTTCGCCATAGACACCGTATACAAAACTTTACAGTCATCTTCCTCTTCCAACATACTATTTACAAAGTCTGTTTATTTTTAGTTCATACCAAAACATTTTGAAAAATATATTTTAGAAAACAAATATTTTAGAAAAATATAAAAAAAAACCTAAATAAAGACTGTTACATTATAATCAACTTTTTACATCATACCCTCAAAAAAAGAATTCTCATCAGTGGGGAGAAAAGTTGCATATCAATTTCTTAATACAAGTAAATGAAGTCTTTGTTCAACTCAATTTTCCAGATAACTTTTTCAAAACATAGTGTCTTTAAATCACCCAAACTATTAATCAAATGACAGATAAATGTGTTGTATGTAACAAAAACAGCCTTACCTTTAGTGCAGTGCAGGTAGCAGAAACGGACCATATCAGCTTCATCATGCACTCAGAAACCAACCAGTACTCCTGTCATGTAATGACACTAGCTGTTCTCAGGGCTTTAATATTTATGTTCAATTATGATATATCTGTATGTCACAGTGTATCAGCATTTCATATCCAGTAAACCTTTTGACATTTTTTCAAAGCTCAAGAAAACAACAGCAATAACTCTGTAAGTACAGTACTACTACGCTTCTCTTCACCAAGCGTAACGTGAAAGCTCCTTCAAAGTTCTTGTCAATGCTTTGCATGGATGGATTTAGCTGCCAGGATGCTCACAAGCTACAGTAGCTTGCTGCATGCAGATCCCACTTGAAAAACATTGAGCATGATAATGATGTTTTTTGGCTAATAAAGATGACGCAGACAATTTTCAGTATTATGTCATAAACTGCTTGTTTGTTATGATCAAAACAACACATGTAAATGCAGCTTTCTCTTGACGTGAACATGACACATAGGTGTATTCATAAATTAATCAATGCCATGCACGCAACCTGCACCCTGAAAATCAGAATTATTGGCCAATAATGTTAACAATTCAATTCTGTTTGGGAATATGCACCACTAAAGCACAGTAAAGCCTGAATAGTAAGGGCTCTAAGGTTGTTGCTGATTTTTACATGACCTTGAAGATCGGTCTTGTTGAGAGGCCCTCTGTGTCAAAATTAAGTTTGAATACCTTTTAATATATTCCTTGTTCTTTACAGTCACCTATGCTACTGTGTCAATACGAATTTTCCCTACAGGGATTAATAAAGGAATATCTTATCTTAAATCTTATCAGTTGATGTTATACTTACATGGTTCATATTCAAATCAAAATATTGAAAACTTACTCGGGAAGAGGATTAGGGTGGGGTGGTTGGTTTAAAATAAGGGCTCTTTAAGTATGTTAATCTGGCCCTGTAATAGATTATAAATTAGTCTAGCTACAGAGGTGATTTTATGTGCACATAATAAGAGTATGTACAGTAGGCCTAATCAGAGTAGACAAATGACCTTATGATCTTAAGGTTAGGATCTTATGCCCATGCTGGAACACCAATGTGTGTCCCATTATAATATAGACCTATAGTATAGTGTATGATTGTATTGCAATTTATTTGTTTGTGTGTCCCCACATTTACACTACATATGCACATTTTTATTTTGAAAACAATCCTTGGACATTTCAGCAGGTTAGCCTACTGTATGTCACGATGCCATAACGTCTCATAGCATGATATAAGAAGGTCGGGGAGACATTAGATAAACAATTTATACGATAAACACCTCACAATACTCAACATTTCTCTCTTTTGACAACCATAGTAAGACTTAACGGTCGGTTATTCGCTGCTTACACGGTTGTGGTGATTACAGACGTGAAAAACAAACGGCCAAGCGGGTTCTCGTATGGAAAGCAGGCAGGGCACAGTGGGGCACAGTGACATTTTCCCCACATGCAAAATCATGCAAAAGGTAAATACTGAAGCGGAGGGATACAAACACCAGTGCAGAACATGGCCGTCACCTCCGTCATGTCCTCTCTCGCAAACCAGCCCACTTCGGCGAAACCGCGCTGTGATTGGACGAGAGGCACGCACGTCAGCTTGTCATTGGATTTTCGACGCGTCAATCACGGGCTAATGTCAATGACGTTGATCATACACTGGGTATACTGTATCGCCTGGGTGGACAGTATAGTTACTTCAACATTAAATGGAATAAAATGCCGCGGATTCATGTAAACAGAGACGTCGCTTTAGCGTGATTAATCAAAGGCTTCTTAATTAAGACGTTTTACTTGTGGAGCAGGTGGCGACAGGCCTATTTTCGGTTTTTATCAGCAATATTTCAGGGTAAGTGGAGTGATACATTTCCTTCCTGCGTCTTTTTTCCTCACCCAAGAGCAGACCTGCTTGCTTTTATGATTTAAATACAGCAAAGTAACAGGTAGCACTGTCATGGTGTACAGTAAACTACACAGAAGAACAGCCTTCATTTGAATACAAAATGTCCGTAATGTGATTTAAAGTAGTGCGCGCGCGCGTGTGTGTGTGTGTGTGTGTGTGTGTGTGTGTGTGTGTGTGTGTGTGTGTGTGTGTGTGTGTGTGTGTGTGTGTGCTCCCGCTCGCATAGAGAGAGTAAGGAAGGTAATGGCTGTCGGCCGAGACTCGTAACTTGAAAATTGTGAAATGGCCTGTTTAGCTAGCTCGTCATTTGCACTGTAAATCAACCGCTTTAATGTTAAATGTTAAATTATGGCATTTGGTTAGTTAAAATCAAGATACTGTATTTTGATAGCAGCGTTAGTTCTTAGATCTGTCAAATTAGATCCTCTAGGGTACCTGTCTGCCGTTAGTGGGCCTACTCAGTCTCCAGACTCTCATCTGTCATAATGTTTGTTGGATTCAGCCATGAGTCCTGCTCCGACTTTGTTTAAAATGTCATTTTAAGCTCAAGTGGACTCCACATACCAGATCTAACATGGTCAGTAGTTTAATGACATTGAGCAGACTTAACTACACATACAAGAGACCTACTGTTCAAAGCTGCATTTTCCTCAGCTTCATTTTAACAAGAGCCTCAAGAAAATGATAATATTTCCCTGCACTGGTTTAAGTTTCTGTGTGTGTGTGTGTGTGTGTGTGTGTGTGTGTGTGTGTGTGTGTGTGTGTGTGGTGTCTTGATGTTGGAGTAGCTTTTGTACAAAAGACACACAAATGTTATTAATGCGGATGCCAGATGCCAAGCGGTGATGCTGTTAAGGCATTTTCTGGATTTACTCTAATTAAATCTCTTAACTGTTTTCTTTAACATGTACTGTAGTGTAGTCAGACTCAGTCAAACTAGGACACTGATTATGGTTTAGCGTGTTCACCGGCTGGCTTGTGCACTGGAACTCAACTGCCATGATTGTCTGTGCCATCCCAGGGTAGATACCAGTGTTGCTGGACTAGAAGTAGGCCAGTTTGACCGAGTGATACCACCACTGTGTGGCATCCCTGCAGATGCATTCGTATCAAAATCTGTAGATAGTACAGCCCCACTGATTGAGAGCATAGATGACACATTTCATCCATCCATCTCTGCCACCAACGCTTATTTATATCTGTAGTATGTGTTTTGGATTTGGTGTTTAATATGGTTTTTTAGTCAAAGCTAAAGTTCTCAATGTCTCAAAATGTCACATTGTATTGTTTAGATCACAGAGATTCCTAACTCCCATTTATCCAATAGCAGGATCAACATAGTGGCTGCCCGAAACCTTGCTATTATTAACAGAAGAACTTTATTAAAATGCTTAAAATAACAGCGTTGTTGAAATTTGTAGTTCTTAGGACTTTGAGCTGACACATTTGGGAGTGGTTGCCAAGATGGACAGAAGTAAGCGAACTGAGGGTCCACAGCAACGATTCCTTAAGATGTCATTCAGGTCTTGAAGCATCATTTGGCTTATGGGAATTTGAACTTTTGTCTCTCAGGTCAAATACAGCCTATCAAGACAAACAATAATTTATTTGTTAATTTAGCACAGAAGTATATTATAAGCATATTGTATTTAATATAAAAAAATATATAGGTCTATTATATTGTAAGTAATGCAAGGAAAATCAGATGAGAGACCAGTGTAGTTGAGATTTTTTTAAATTATAGAAATAGATATATAAGTTAAAAGCTGAAAGGAAACACAAAAAACTGTTTATTGGGGACATGTCCAATCTCAACTGTTTTCAGTTTCCTTGAGCAAGAACCCGAACTCTGAGCAACTCACTTGGCAAATAAATGGCAAACATGTAATAATGCATAACTTCTCAAATACTTACCAGGATGATAAGATTTACTTTCCTTATATCTCCTCTTTATTTTGTCAAGTGGAACTGGTACATAAGGACCTTTCATTGGAGGGTTTTGAAGGAGTTGGAGTTATTTTCAGTCATTTTCACAATTAATTGATTAGTTGTTTGGTCTATAAAATGGAAAAATAATGTTGATCAGTGTTTCCCGAAGCCCAAATAGACGTCCTCAAATATCTTGTTTATCCATAACCCAAAGACATTCAGGTTGTTGTCGCTGGGAAGTAAAGAAACCAGAAAATACTCACATTTAAAAAGTTGGAATCAGAGAATCTGGACTTTTTTTCATACAAAATGACTCAAAATAGTTGGCGATTAATTCAATAGTTGAACAACTAATCAATTAATCGACTAATTGTTGCAGCTCCAGATCCCATTGACTTGTTTGCGAATGAAAAATTTATAGCAAGATATCAGTTGGAAAATAATCCAAATGCAAGAGTTAAATGAGACATGAAAAATGAAATTCTTTAACATTACCTCCAATCACAATATCTACAGTATTACACTTGGAGGTAATGATTTTTGGTAGCAGTCATCTTGTAATTTGTCCCCTCCTAAACAATATTTTGCATATTCCTTTATGAATATGCAGTTTATTATCAAGTTCAGACATATTACTCCAACATCAAAAATAACTATTATATAGTACAGAAAATACTGTACAGTTCTAAAATTGTTCTCTGGTCATGTAATGTTCAAGGAACGATTAGTAACATCTTTCTCTCATCTTTCTCATCTTTCATGTTTTTTTTGTCAGGTTGATGAAAAGTTTCAAGACTACCTGAGTGCAAATCAATGGCGTCCATCTTTGTGGAGGGGAGACTGAGCCATTAAGGCCGTCCTAAAACCCGTCTGAGAGCTGTCGATGGGCAAACCCCACCGCAAGTCATGTTTGAGGCCCCAACCATTTATCTCAGGGCTTTGGCACATTTCATTGGCTAGCACATAATCTGCTAAAGGTCACAGCCACTAATTACACTATTCCAAAACAGACAGATGCCTCCCCGGAGCTTGATTGTGCTCTCCTTTATCGGAAGAATATGCAAGAGTTGCATAACCATCACTTGGATGATTTGAATAACATGTGCGACGCTCACTTTTCACCAGAACAACCCAATGCCTGACCTCTTAAGATGATGAGGCAAACCTAGTTCAGCCAAAAGTCAGTCATTTTCCACCATTATACACTTTTATTTGTTTACTTATGTGTCTTTAGAGTGACTTATAAACTGTCTTTTGGCTTCCAGTATGTCACAGAGCGAGCTTAGTTCGGCTGGACGCAGGGCTCAGTTTTGGCCAAGCGGCGACCTCATTATCTTGGCGTCCAATCAGTCCTCCGGCCAGCTCCTAATTGAGCCATCAGCGCCTTTAAGGGGGAAGAGGAGGGATAGACGTGTCAATTACAGTAATGAGGGGCAGCCATGCAGAGGGCAGTGAGGGAGCGGGAGGCTAGACAGAAGCCTTGCAGTGTAGCCCCATTCTGGTCTATTGACGGATAATCAAAGATATTATTGTAGCTTGACGGTGGCGAAGTTAGTAGAGTTAGTAGGGAAGAGCAGTTTTTAATTGTTTTTCCCTCTAGCAGTGGGATATTTTTCCATGTCAAGTTGTGGTAATCGCTTAGCGTTGATGCCTTACTTTTACAACTAATGAATTGTCCATTAAAATGTCCAGCATGCCAATTTGTGAATCCTTTTATGGCAAAGCCATGACCCGCCCTACTCTGCCTCTGATTGGCTTGGCCTATTAATGACGTCATGGTCATGTTTTCCTTGCGCTGAAAGAACAGGACCTTTTTGCTGTTGTGCTGGTCTTTGGCAAAATAGATTGTTAAGCTGTAATAATTTATTCTAAATGCAGTCAATTTGTTCACAGTAGCAACTCATTTATACATGAAAAAATATTTGTATGTTTAAAACCCTCAGCGTCCATCTGGTTTATTTGACTAAACATTAGCAAGGTCTGATGAATCCATGGTGGTACCCATTGATCCTTGAAAGGGGAGATTTGGGTGGTGGTGGCGTAATGGATAAGACACATGCCCAGGTTCAATCCCTCATTGTGACATATACACCATTGTGTCCCTGAGCAAGACACTTAACCCCTAGTTGCTCCAGAGTTGTGCGACCTCTGACTTATATAGCAATTGTAAGTCGCTTTGGATAAAAGTGTCAGCTAAATGAATAAATGTAATGTAAGATTTGGTTTTATTATTATGCTGAGTCGTGGTTTACTACTATTTAAAACAATGTTTTTATTCTATTCAAGGTGTAGCATTAAATTACAGCAAAGGTTACACTGTAATTGGGTTGCTAGCTGCCTTCGGATGTCTTTCATCCACCAAAGTGGCTGATACATCTCAATGGCCATCGGACAAACATTTTCACTGGATCTCGTTACGGTGAACAATCTCAAGCTAATAAAAAACATAATGTTTAATTTATTAGTGTTTCTTCTTACCCTCCGCAACTAGGTTGCTACCTATACTGTGAATAATTAACTTCATTATGTAGAAATTATTACAGCTTAACAATTTCGAGCTAATTTTACCAGCAAAAAACATCATGTTAAGCCAATCAGAGGCAGAGTAGGGCGGATCATGCCTTTGCCATTGTAGAATTGGCAAATTCAGATATTGCAGATATAAGATATGAAACTCCTTTTATCATACATGATTCTTCTTTCGGCTATCCAAAGTAATTGCTTGTCTGTGTCCAATTTGTTTTTATAATGGGCATCATTAAGGTGGTTTTGTATAAACATTTTACAGCAAAATATATTTTCTTTTTTTATTATGATTATGTGACTGTTAACCAATATATTGGCCAAGTAGGGATGGAACGATTATGGGTTTAACGGTAAACCATGGTAAAAAAGGTCGTATTTTAGTTTTTATGAGAGTGCTGAGGGAAACCTGTTTGAAGAAAATAACCTTATAGTGAACGCAGGGTGAGTTAACTTTAAGCTTTGGTTTGTCTCTCTGACTTGAAAAAACTGAAGCTCTCAGTGTTAGCTGCTCTTGTAAAAACGCCACACGTTGTTCAGTCGCATCGAGTCTATTCGTCCACTGCACATGACAACACGTTACGCTGTTTAGTCAACCCACCAGCATATATACATATATATATATATATATATATAAAATCTTGATAATGTACACTTAGATGATTTTCATTTGTTTACAAAAGGTATTTGCTGAAATGGCAATTGTATTTGTAGTTTTCATTATAAACTTGCTGAAATGGTTTCAGTGTGTGTATCAGTACATTTTAATATTTTTTGGAACATTTTTACAATACCGTGATAATACTGATAACCGTGATATTTTTTGTCACTATAATCGTGATATGAAATTTTCATACCGTTTCATCCCTATGGCCAAGTAGGTCCTTTTACAGCAGTGATTCCCAATCTAACATGCTTACAGTACTAGGGGGTACCGGGAAAAATTGTGGCAAAGGTAATTGACTAATTAGCTACGAATTGTTTCTGCTAATTAACAGTTAGTCCAACATTTATCACCAACTGTTTTGTCATTTATAAAGCAAAAATGATGACAAAAAACAAAAAGATTTCCTTGTTTCAGCTTCTCAAATATGAGGAAAATCTTTGGCTTTTTGATTATTTGTCAGACAAAACCAGACATGAAGACATCACACTAGGCTCGGGGACATTGTGATGGATCATTGGTTCTTTTTTGTAACAATATACAGAACAAGAATGTACTGTTTGGTCCATGAAATCCCAAAAGATATTGAATTGTGTCAATCATGACTTTGCAGACTTGCCATGTTGTGTTTAGTCTGACCAAAAGTCTAAAACCCAAAGTTATTCTATACTGTTTACTAATATATGAGACTCAGAGAGGAAACAAATCCTGCCAAAGAAGTTCGAACCTGAAAATGTTATGTATCTTTTCACTATTTTTGTTTGAAAATCAATTGTCAAAAACAATTATTTGATTTTCAAAATAGTTATTTTCTGTTGATTGATCAATCACTCTAGTTGCAGCCTTTATTGTCACAATAACCAGTTACTCCAGCTACGATAGGCTGACTTCTCAGGAAATGCTTTTGTTTTCATCCCAGTTGAGTCAGTTTCAACACCTTCACACCAAATTGTTTTTTATAATGACATTGACAAAGAAACAGTCTTTATTTTGGATCCGTCAAGTCATGGTCGACACAATTTTTTAGTTAGGCCAGTATTGGTGCAGGTACCGGTCCAGTGTATCGAATTGCTGCAGCCCAGTTGAAAAGTATTTAGCGAGCAGGCAGACATGTCTAAATGGACTGCTAAAAGTAATGGATAGATGGTTGACACTGAAGTTGCATATGCTACTGTTGACGCAGTACATGGCACTGATAAATGAGACTGAGATTTTTAGAGCTGAACCTAATACGCTGGATTTTATTACAGCTCAGAGTCATTCTCAAGCTGGACACTGAAGTGTTGAAATGTGGTTTGTGACAGCCCCATCTGCACTCCACTGGTGTTTTCATTTTTTTCCATCTGGCCTAACAACAATCCCACAGGAAAGCATAGACATGGAGGGTCAAGGCTAGGGGGAAAACTTAACGCAGTTGCCACAGGGCTGAGCCTCTGTGTAGGAAGGAAAAATTTAGGGAAGGTGGTGTATTTTGAAAATGTAGGTTGGCGCTAAATTGGTTGTCAGTTACTCTTTCATCTGCATTATTAACATGTTTTGTGTCCAGTTTTCAGTAAAACTGAAAAAGGGCTTCAAGCAATTTGTAGTCACTGTCTCTTTTTCACTTCCAGAGGTGTAGCTGCCCCATCAAATTCATCTCCCTTGATTAAGATATTAAAGACATACATGCCAAAAAATGGTAATTAGAATGAAATCAAACATAATTATCCAAAACATTGGGGAAAATGGACACAGTTCATATGTAAATAGCGCTGCAACTAAGAATTTTTTTAATCATCAATTAATCTGACAATTTTATTATCGATTGATCATTTGGTCAATTAAATGTAAGCAAGATATCTTCAGATTCCTTGTTTTATATACCAGCACAAAAACCAGATAGCCTATGATCAGTTTACTATCATATATCACAAAGAAAAACAGGTACTCACATGTGCGAAGCACATCAACTATTTAATTGGCAATTAATTGACAAGTCCTTTCAGCTCCAGGGAGCGCTTGATTTAATGCACCAGAGCAGCCACCCTAAATGCAAAGGATCAGCATCACACCTGACTAGGTTTGATTAATTGCTGGAGCTAGAATTGTGATTATCACTGTATATAATTAACTGTTCTGTAAACCTAAGTCACATAATCAAAGCTTCCATCTCAGGAAGGATACATTATGTGCAGCTGTATATATTATTGTAGTAATACGAACTAATTTGCAATTCTAGATATACAGTCAAACTTGTTTAATGATGTTGTTACAGTTTAAACAAATAAGCAAAGGGAAAGTGACAAACTGCTGTTGTTACAGCTGCTGTATATTAATTTGTAATCATTTCATCTATGCCACCATTGCTACATTAAAAAGGCTCTTGAATATTAAATCAGACCTTCTCAATCTATAAGAGTTTAAATTATAATCTACAACAAAGCCTGTTATACTTGCAGTAATATTACTTTGGAATAAAAATGTAAATCTGTAGCCCAGGTAGCTTGAATCATGACCAAGAGAGAGACCAGTTTCTTCAGTCTCAAATGGATCTGTAGTTCATGCAGAGGTGGCTGATTTCTCAAGGCTGTCATATTGTCATTGGTTCATTATTTTCATTTCTTTATTCACAACTGTCAGACCTTCATGGTAAGGCAGGATTTAAAGGCAATATACAAAGAATACCAAACAGTGATTCAGCCTGCACACAAAGATCACTCGCCAACTTGCAGTACTAGGCTGTACTGTAGACGTGTGAAGCCAGTTGGTAATATGCCACCTCTGATGCCGTACAACGTTTGGAGTATTCTGGGGGAAAGTATTGAAACGCTCATCATACCCACTCAGCAACAGTTTCTTATGTGTATAAAAATTATGTAAAAGTCATCCCTAAAGTAGCTGCAACTAAAACGAAGTTTTGTAATATTCAGGACCAAAATCCATGCAGATTTGAGAGCCCTGTAGAGCAGTCTTGACTTATATTTGCCATTAAACCAGTTATGATTTCTAGTAAAGGTATCAAGCTGCCCATACAGAGCCCTGTTCACTGACAACCTTATATGTAGAGCTGCTCTAGTTTTAGCATTTAATAATATATTTATCTATGCAACCAATTATTGGGGTGGTGACGGCGCAATGGTGTGAGAGAACGGGGTTCATTTCCCCACTGTGACCCATCCACCATTGTGTCCCTGAGCAAGACACTTAACCCCTAGTTGCTCCAGAGGACCTGGACCTCTGACATGTATAGCAATTGTAAATCACTTTGGATAAAAGTGTCAGCTAAATGAATAAATGTAATGTAAATGTAATCATTAAGGCTATAAAATGTTTAAAAAATAATATGAAATTAAGTGACTTCGTAAAATGGCTTTTGTAGCTTTTGCTTGTGATGTAGATGTAAATCTTCATCTGCTTTAGTGTCACATAAATATAATGCAAGTTATGAAATCTGGGTTTTTTGATATAAAGTAGTGTCCAAAGCATGTACACTAAGTTTTGCATTCCACTGTGGGGAATTTATAGGATAATGTATTACATAACTTTTACACTTTGAATGCTCAAGTTTGATGTTGGAGATCCAACATATTAGTTCTCTTGGTAGTATGTCAGGAGTGACTTTATACATAATTTTCAATGTGTTGTTGTGGTAATGACACAAATCTCTTCAACTTCATTAGCTGCCAAAGTGAGAGTTCAATGTCTTCTTTGATTACAAAGCAGGTCTAGGTGCTGTATAAATGCAGTGAAAGTTTTAAAACACTCAAATAAATCAAAATATAAGTTTGGTTTTAATTAGTTTTTAATGCTATAAAAAGGGGTTTCACGTTATGATTTCCCGCTGGGCCTTGTTCTTGATTGGGTCGGCTGTGTGGTGAATTTGCCAATCCTACTAAGGTGAAAGCATGATGACGTTAATATGTAGCCCTTGCTGAAAGAACAGGAAGTTTTTTCTCTTCTGCTGTCTTTGTCAAATTAACTTGAACTGTTAGGGTAGGCTTGCATATGCTTATTTTTATTTTTCATTACTTTAGGGTGTAATTATTGTAGGGTCTGACTGTTAGCTGTTGTGTTGATTATATGGCTCATGCTGTTCACTGCCTCATACGTTTATACCAGCGTCCATCAGGTTCATTTGACTAAACATTAGTAAGGTTTGATAAATCAACCCATTGATCCTTGAAAAAGGTTAGATTGAGTTATGGTTTACTACTATTTCAAACACTGTTTATTCTATTCAAGGCGTGGCATTAAATTGCAGCTGTAATTGGATTGCTAGCTGCCTGTGCGTCTCTTTCATCCACCAAAGTGGGTGCCGCATCTCAGTGGCCTACATCTTTCACTGGATCTTGTTACAGTTAACAAATTCGAGCTAATAAAGAAATTAACGTAAATGTTTCTTCTCACCCTCCGCAACTAGGTTGATCTTATTTAATGGCACTGGCCTGTGAATCATCATCATCAGCCAATCACATGCAGAGTATGGCCATAGTAGTATTTGTGAATTTGCTGCTGGGTGCATGGGCGAGACCTCGATACAGCGGCTCCAACGCTGATCACTACGCTGCCTCCAAATGATGTCACCAGCAGAAGAGGGCAGCTCGCATATGTAGTATATTTTGGCTTCTGTTTTGTACAGTGGGAGGAAGTAGAGACACACATCATCCATCTTTACATACAGTGTATGGTAAACATCAACACTCCCCTGATTCTCCGAGCTCCCAGTGGAGGCAGTTAGCTAATAGGACAGCTGACTGCATGGCTAACTAGCCAACTAGTGACTACACTTAGCAGCAGCCACTAATAACAGATAAAAATAGCAGCTGGAGGACAGCAAAGGGAAGACCAGAAAATGTTTTCTCCAGAAAATGTGATCCAGTTTCACCTAAATTTGTGAATAAACTGGTGTTTTTGTGCAGTAACCAGTGAGCCCCGGCCCCCAGAAACACTTTGCTCTTGCATCGACTTTTGTTGTGGTGCTCCAAAGCGCTTGGTGCACTGGTTTCAGACAGAGGATGAACTGAGGGGCTGCAAGGAGGCCCAGTATAAGATAAACAAGGATTTTTGTACTGTGAATCATGCAAAGCTACTTTAGTGCTACTTTAGTGGAATCCCAGAATAAAAATATAGAGCTGAAAATGAGCAGAATAGGTCTCCTTTAAGTGCCTCCCTTTGACATGTTTGTTGCTTTTTAATAAGGAAGATTAGAATTAACAAAATCTTTGGCACCACACCTGTGCCAAAACTGAGTCTTCAGGAAAAAAACGCATTGTACTTGATGAGCCTTTTCATGCAGTGTAATTTAATTTCATCTCTGGAAGCCAGTGCATTTAACCTGTGATTCTGGTGGCAAGTGTTGGTTAGATGAATTCCTTAATTGTCTCTGACCTCCTGCCCTTATAATCAGACAGCGCTGTTGTCTCTGTTGTCCTCAAATTAATTTGACTGAACAGCACAGATGACATTGTCATATCATTTTCATTTTCTCACATGAGAATATGATAATTTATGGATTTATGTATGCATGATCCCCATTAGCAGATCTCATCGATTTAATTCACTCACACGTGTTGTCTTGTTTTGATGTTTGTGTGACACGATCTGTAAATGAGGGACATTTGAGCAACCTATCTCTATCTCCTGCAGGAGAGGAGTGACGTCCACCTCAACGCAGCAGCTGCAGGACGTTTGTCAGTTTTGTCCCTGTTGAACAAACAATGAACTGAGGACCTCCACTCCTTCAACTTCACACATCTCCGCAGCACCCACTCTTCAACCTCGCCGACGTTGCCTCACCACGCCTGGGCAGAGAAATGTGTGTGCGTGTGTATCCTCGGATGCATGACTGTGTCTGAGTATTTTTGGGCTGAAGTAAGAGGTAGTAGGCTGCACTTAACCTCTCACCCTCTTGAGAGGCACTCCACGTGACTGACTACAACATTTGTCTCCACTGCTGCAAAGCATCATGGGTAGGAAAAAGATTCAGATCCAACGGATCACAGACGAAAGGAACAAGCAGGTGAGTCTTTATTTTTATCTTTTTATCTTTTTGGTGGCTCATTATTATGGATGAGGTCCACCACCATTATGTGTTTTATAATTGATCAGCTCAAAAAAGTTAATGCCATCGTAGGGCAGGGCATTGAATGTCAGTAGTTTTTTTTGGTACTGCCTAAAATATGTCTGAAGAACCGACTATAGAAAACCAGAGCTTGGTATTAATTTATCAGATTTGTAATCTTGTCTATTTATTCTTTAGCTTCTTTTTGCCAGTCCTGTGTAGTTAAAGGTCTGGTACAGCTGCTTGTGTTTAGACATTTGAGAAGTAGTACCACAAAAAGTATTGTTTCGGTTTTCACCCAGCCCCACTATCAAGCTTATTGTTGCATCTACTACATCATGGTCTTAAGGCGGCAGTAAACTAATTGTAAAGGACTATTAATTTAGGATGTTTCTTTAAATTATCACAGACACATCTAGTGCATCTAAAATATTGCGTAACAGAATTAAAGTGAGAAATTGTTGTATTGATGCTCAGCCATCTTCCACATTGGTGTGATTTCAAAATACAGGCCTCACTTCGGTCACTTTTGGTACTGGTCCTATTTGTCACATTTGTCACAACACTCTTGTACAATACATTTCATCAAGTCATTTTCTTCTATAGGCAGTACAGTGTAAAATAAAATTTTTAATAAAAGTTATCATTCAAATATATATAAAATGAGGTAAATGTTCATGAAAATGCTCAGAGATTAAAAGAAACTGAGCGTTAAAATATTAAAGAAATGTGTGCAGTTTACTGACGTCATTTTTGCTACTAAGGTCTAGAGGTTTCTGTTATCTTTCGCTACCGGCCTGAAGCACCAGGCACAGCTACAGTCAAGTCATATATGCTTTGGTCTGATCCTGCACTGTTCTCATTCTGAAGCTGCTCTATTGTTGATTTGGCTTTATGGTTGTATCATTATCCCATTTAAAAATGTATACACATTTGCTGCAGTGAAACGTCTCAAGTACTCTAAAGCAGGTTGTCCTCAGGAATTTGCCTTTTTCAGCTCCATTTGTTTAGTTTCTCCTCACAAGGCCTCACTGCATGAGGCTGCCACCCCTCTTCACAGCATAGATGGTGTTGGAGGAGTGATGAGATGAGTCTGCCAAACAAAGTTCTTTGTATTACTGCTAAAAAGTTCAATTGTTTGTGGTTTCATCACACCACAGAATATTTTTCCTCATGCTGTCAGTACTCACATGTTTTTATTTTCCATATAAAATCACACTGTCTTTGTGTCACATGTGTCTTTTACATGAGTACCTTTGTTTTGGCCCTTGTGACAGGCAGACCAGATTTGTAAAATTCTGCATTGATTGTTGTTGTGTTCGATAGATCCACACTCACAGAAAGGTAGCTCTACAGCTCCTTCAGAGTGGCTCTTGGTCTCCTCCCTGACCAAGGTCCTTTTTGTTGTCACTGTCGGGGCAGATGAGTAGTGGTACAAAAATGTTAAATTGGTATTTTCAGGGTGTTCCCACACTATCACTGTTTTTGTGAACCACCAAGATTTTATTTTGTTTAGTTTTAGTTTAGCTCTGGACTACTCTACAGACGAATCCTGGAACTGTCTGTACAGTAAATACTCAACATGCTCCAATTTAAATCATCCGTTCAATTGTTGCAACATTTGATATTTAGAAGGATTTGTATGCTGCATAATTTAATTCATAGTGTCACTAAAACATGATTAAATTACCCCAAACAACTCATCGTTTTGATAAATTTGCATGTGACAAATAATTTAAGTTCAGTTTGATTTCAGGTTTAACAGCCCACATCAGCATTGCCAATGGGAAATCAGTGGAAAAGAAACTGTAATGGAATAAGAGTTGTTCACCCAGTCTGCTTTTGACCTCTACTTTGGCATTCATCATTAAGTATATTTCATTGTGCCACAGTGTACGTCTCTAATTGGACGAAAGTGTACTGTTTGCAGGTTTGTGTATGAAACACATGTAGTGATGGCAGAAGATGTGGGAACTCAAGAAAGACTTGACTGAACTCAGAGAAGTCAGTCACATTGTTATTCTTGAAATTAAAATCTATTTACATGAAGTGGTTTTCTGATCTTGGGATTAATGTTTCTTCTTACCCTCCGCAGAGAATCTAAAAGGCTAAAAATAAAACCAACATAGGTCAAAATTCAGGGCATTTCTTCTCACTGCATATAATTGGTTGTATGAGCATTGACACCTACTGAAGGAGTATGATTTCAGAAATGATCAGGGACTGGTTCTTGCTTAAAAGCCACTGTCTAAGGCTATTATTTCTTTGTAGTGATAATAGCCATGAGTCATAAAATGTCCACAAAAACAAGGATGCTCCATTATTGATGCAGAGTTTCAGTGACTGTTCTGGCAGCAAAAGAGCCAGCCACCAAAAAGTACTATTTGTTATCTAACGTGTCTGCCAGTAATGAGACTAGGCACCTGAAAGACCTCTTTGTGTGTGGACCACAGAAGTCCTATGCAACGTAAAAATATGTAGGATCCTTCTTCTGTAATATTTTTCTTTTATAGAAATCCTGACAAAGAAATGTAAAATACAGAAACATGATCAGAGAAAGTTCCACACAGAAAAATAATCAAGTTTTGGATCTGAATTTCTGCCCTACAGTGTGGAAATACTCCGCAGTCCAAACTGTCCAAAACTCACTTTCTCTGCTCTTTTCTCTCAGGTGACATTCACAAAGCGAAAGTTTGGCTTGATGAAGAAAGCCTACGAGCTGAGTGTATTGTGTGACTGCGAGATCGCTCTGATCATCTTCAACCACGCGAACAAGCTGTTCCAGTATGCCAGCACTGACATGGACAAGGTCTTGCTCAAGTACACAGAGTACAACGAGCCTCACGAGAGCCGGACCAATGCAGACATTATTGAGGTAAATCCATCACATCAGTTTGTGTACAAGTGAGTTAGCAAGGATTGATGGTTACCGTTGCTTGAGTTTGAGGTCATTTAAACAATGTTCCTTTGTTGCCCCATTTACTATTAACAGGGATACTTCACTCTGAAACAGAGCTAAGATCAGTATTTATGGACATTAACATTTTTGTCTTTAAAGTGGAAGCCATAGAATCAGATACAATCTGGGAACTTATCTGGTTGATTAATAAAATCTCCTCTGTTATTTGGCCTTTGTTACAAGGTGGCACTGACACTAGAAGCAGCATGAGTCTGAGATCACATACAGGTTTTAATCTGGTAAAATTATAACCATATTGTACAAGTGACTGAATCAGGTGTGCCACTATAAACACCAGTACCAGAGAGATACGAGGATGCAAATAACTAGTCCCATTTAGCTATAGAGTTTTGACTCAGCCAACAGGTGGTGTGACAACTGGCGACACGCTTTGTGTTTTTTTTCCCTAGTGTGACAAACTAAATATGTGGTTAAACACAAGAGCAAAAGTAGATTGTAATTTTTGCTGTCCTCTGTTCAGTCCTGTACACAAATATATTGTACTGTTAATTTTGTACATCTTCAATAATAGCATATAATACAATATATAATATAATAATATAAATAATAATAATAGTAGAGATGTCCTGAGCTAATCTAAGGATAGTCTTTGAGATGATCAAGGCACAGTTTCACAAATTGGTATTAGCTCAAAAACAGCCGAGTAAAATCTGATCTTTTCTTTACCCATCGCGTCACGCCAATCATATCAATCAAATGGTATCAATAATTTCAGCTTATCAACTTGATATTTTTGAACCAGGACCTTTGGATCAATTGGGTTGACTGAAGAAGGCTACAGCTGTTAATTAATTAGCATTCAGGCAAATGTAAGTATCAGATCAGACTCTGTATCAGAGATAATACCCAATAACCCAATAATAAAGGACTCTGATCGGGATCATTGACAAAACAACTTTATCAGGGCATCCCAGGTTTCAAGCAACTAGACTAACTGATTTTACATTATTCTTACTCATGTCCTTTCTTTTTTACTTCCATAGACCTTAAGAAAGAAAGGCTTCAACGGTTGTGACAGTCCAGAGCCGGATGGTGAAGACTCCATTGACCAAAGTCCCTTAAATGATGACAAGTACCGTAAGACCACAGAGGACCTGGATGTTCTCTTTAAACGCTACGGAGTAAGTCATCAGAGTACAGAGTACATAGTCATTACTTTTTGTTCTGTTTCTCTCTTGACCCTCGACTTATTGGTCGACATAATAACATTTGTTATTATTCTGTGTTTGGTTTGAGTGCCTACAGGAAACCGCTGCTGGTGTGAAGTTCCTCCAACTGGTTGTTTCATAGTTTTTTTTTCTAACTGGGCCCTTTGCATAAGACCAGAAACATTAGATCATAATAGAAGATAACAGATGTATGAACAGTTTTTTGGTCACAGTCATATCTGGCCATAGTTCTTAAGGCACATTTTAAGCAGTCAAGGAGACTGAATTATATTTTAAAGTCATTCTAACTTGTCTACTCTTTAGGATGAGACACGCGTTTTGTTTCAGCCTCAATGACCTTATTGTCCCATTTAGACTACACTGTTTCAAGTTTTGAAAACCTCACAACTGCTTCTGCTCAACTTTTACTACTTTATGCTGACCATACTCACCTCTGTCTGGGGGCAGCCATGGCTCAGGGTGTGGAGTGGAGATTGGTGGTTCGAAGTATCCTTGGCAAGATACTGCACCCCAGAGTGTGTGACTGTGTGTGAATGTGTTAATTTCTGCTTCTGATGGCACCTTCTGAATATGTGTGAATGTGATGTAGAGTAAAAGGCCTTTGAGTTGTCTAGAAAAAGACTAGAAAGGCTTTATACAAGTACAGACTATTTACCATTTATGTGTCTTTCACTTAAATTTAACTTCCCCAGCAATATTAAATCATTGCTGCGCTTCATGTCAAAAACCACCCTCATCTAAATGTAGAAAATATGAAGACTTAAATATTTACTTTTATTTCAACATGAATTCAGGTGTGACTGGGTCCTTCATGTCCTTACATCATGAATTTTACAGATAAGACCATATGCTGGCTGAGAATCAACCAGAAATTGCTTTGCAAAGATATCAAAGAAATGTTTGCGACAATTAAGAGTTTAGTTTAGTTTTGATATAAAATTATTTTGTTTATTTTACAACTGTAAAATGACCTGCTCATTAAGTTCCTTAGTCATTCATTCTTACTAACCAGTGTGAGCAACGTTAAAAGTTGTCACACGTCTCTCCTACACTATGCCACGCTTCATTCATGTTTATTTAGGTTAACAAATAGATTAAGACAGAATCTAAACCAAAATACTTCAGGGTTGATATCAATCATTGGTCTCAACAAAAGAGTGGGTAAGTATTGGATAAGACTGATTTGCTGTTTGGCAACCCATTACGTCCCCAGGATGTCCAGGGTTTGCGGGGAGTAACACATTAAATAATTAAACTGTCAGGGTACAAAGTCTGATTTAAGGAAATTGGCCTTAAATCAGACAACGGGTTATATTACAGACAAACAGAAAATGAGTACAACTAGCTTTCTTTTAACAAAGAAGTGGAAGCTGAATCATATAAAAAAGGTATTCTAGCAAACTGAAAATACACTCCTGTAACCTTTAGCAGGGTGACGACTGCTCTCATTTTAACACAGTCCACAGCTCTTAATCTAGCAGAAAAACATACAGCATAGAAGCTACTGAACGACTCCCTGGTGCAGAATATACTGCAGACTGGTCCACTGACCACTTGCAGCTCTCTCCATGACTTCTTAAACTAAAGGTTCTGATTAAGGTGATTGTGGACTGCCACCAATCACTCAATGCAGCTGCAAAGCGTGGTGGAAGGGCAGTACCAGGAGGAGCACAGGAGAGAGGAGCACAACAAAACAAGAAACATGGCTGTAACACAGCCAATAAGAATTATTCAGTGGCCATGGTTTATGCAGGGTGATGACCTTCAGTTTAGGGCTGAAACGATTCATCGATTAATTATATAGCACACTGTTTTGCACAGACATTTATTACTGTCACACATTGCGCTTACCTGTGTGAATGTGAACACGATGTGATTATGATGGCGCTGTTTGCAAAGTGGCGGAAGAGAGAGAAGATAGCGAGGGACGAAGAAGAAAGTGTCCAAAGTATGGGATTATTTCAAGCTAAAAGAAAACAATAACTCTGAAATTTTACAGTCCGTCCACCGTAAAATGAATGTATGTACACAATCTACACACATGGGTTTGTTGTTCTCCTGGTTGGGCCGTGAGTTTGGGTTGTAACGTCACAGTCATGAGTTAACTGGGTGTCAGGGAGCTGCACTTTAGTATAACTTGTATAGCACTTGGGTGATGTTTGTGTTGGTAAAGCAGTTGTCTGGTTGTTGGTCTGATGTTTGCTGTATGACACACTATGAATTTCTGAAAGTACTAATAAATAGCTATCATCTATCAGCGTACACAGCTGATCACATTACCGGGGTGGGGGGCAACACTGCTGCTGCCACCAAGCGAAAGTACTTCTTAAACGATGCATTGATGAAATAATCTATAGAAGCTTTGAGTTCTAAAATCAGCTAGCTGCAGCCCTACTCCAGTTTATGTTCGCATCTGGTTGTTCTCTAATGCCGTCATCTATTACAATCAAGGAACGTACAACTTGTCTAGTTTATAAGTTAAAAGGGATGTACTTGCATGAAACCTTTTAAAAAAGATAATCTTATGGCATTTTTGCTTTTCTTGCATGGTTTAATAGTGAAGATTCAGAAATGGGGAATAACATGCAACAAAGGTCCCTAGCTGGAATGAAACTGGGGACGTTGCAACTTATGGTTTGTCTCTTGAACACTAGGATGCCGGAGTATATACGATGAAGACTAAAGGTGAATTTCTCTCCTCCCACTTTGCAGCAGTCGACAGCTCCGCCCCAGACGTTCTCCATGCCAGTCACCGTCCAGTCGTCCAATCAAAGCACACTGCAGTTTAGTAACCCTGGCAATGCGCTGGTAACTACCTCCTATGTAACATCGTCACCGCTCACGGATACCCACCTCCTGTCGCCACAGCAGCCGGCTGTTCAGAGAAATACAGTGTCGCCTGGGTTGCCACAGAGACCGGCCAGTGCAGGTGAGCAAGTGATGTCCTGCTGAGTTTCACACAGCTGAAGCCATCAGTTGACTAATAAATACCAGCAGAAACAGACTGTAAATCATTGACCATCCTATTGCTGGGAGACATTTCTGATAGGAAGAAAGAAGAAACACTTCTAAAGTAGTCATTTTAGCTATAGCTTTAACAGTTTGACCCACAAAATGCAATATTTTTCTACTTTTATACCATCTGCTCTTGCTTCTCCTCATGTTTTACCCCTCAACAATAACATTATAATGTTTGTATCCATTGTTATCAGTTATTATTTCTTAGACCTACTGTGTATATTGTATTTAGTTCCTTATCATTACATGTAAAGAGCTGCTTAATTCCCCAGGGAATACCTCTGCATTGGACTAATTTGCAGTATGTGACATGTGCTACACTCCAAAATGTTTGTATTTACTTTAAATTATTAGTTTATGGCTGTATCAATCAAATATTAGGCATCGGAGAACTGGAGTCTATACGTGTGGCTTCCTATTACTTCAGGCCACATTCACACTTATTTCAAG